GTATTTCCTGACTAAATGTCATTGGTGGTGCAGTATTCTAAAACTACCCTGTACTGAAGGGTTTTCGTTTCTGAGAATGCTCAGTATAAATGTAAAATCAATCTCTTACATATTAAATCCTGGTAGGTTTAATAAATCACATGATCTGAAGCATGCCAAACAACGCCGTGCCCTTTTCTTATGGTAACGACCCTAGAACTTGCGGCTCTATCCAGTCTACATCCAGTTCGCTGATTCTGCCACTGATTAATTGCACAGTCTCCTCTAGCGTGAAAGACACTTGACCCTGCTATTTCTCTCGTGAGCCTTCATGTTAGCCGTCATTTCGATTGCAGTGGCTGAAAAACAGCTGAACTGGGATTCACCACTTCTTATGACGTTCACAAAGTTCTAAAAGAAACGAAAAAGCAAATATTACTTAAATAGTATGAATAAATTGTTCGCTAAAGTGTTCCATGCATCAGTGTCTTGTGGAACATGCTAAATTGACCCGAAAAATCTGAATTGGTGATTTTGAGTGGGACGACTGAGTAAGCAAGAGTAGTTCAAGTAATCAGTCAGTTAAAGTACTTCTTCACCTCATCATAATGAACACTAATTAAGCCTGACCTGTTAGACGCAAATGAGGGATGGCCTGATGTTCCGAGCCTCACTTCCTACGAAATAAGATTAGCCGTGAGCAAGGAATTTTTCCTTTGCACCTTGTAAGGCAACGTTGAATTCAGTTAGTGTCCAGAATCTTAAGCAGTTCGTACTTCTGTCACCGGAAATAACACGTACAATGATGGACGGTGGCCGACACATCACATGGCAGAATAAATTGAACGGATATATGCTGTCAGTCAAAGAAGAGACATTCCCTCGCAGACAAAGTAGTTGGCTCCTACAGTCAGATTCGGAGATATTGGGATGGGCGTAATCACGAATCTTAAGCAGTCCACGCTTTGAAAAAGCGGCAAAGATGATGACAAACCAATGGTGTTCCGATGGCCGCTCGAACATTAGAATTGTCGCTCATATTCAGAACTGAATACTTGCGATTGCCATTCCTGTTGTTGCCTCCGATCCCAATGGCGAAAGTCGATTAAATCTCTGGGACAGATGTAGCCGCAGTTGCCAACACCAAAGCATTCATGAACAGAGGCTGACAAGACGAGGACGAGGAAATAGACATACCCGTCGGTAACACGGGCGTAGTGACATAGTGAGCTAAATTCAATATAGTGATTAATATTTGGGTCGGGATGGCAAGAGGTCGGTTTTGAACTCCAGAGGTGTCGGGTTCGAGTTCACTTAAAAGACTATTTTTGTCTAAACCAGGAATTCCTTTGTGCAAGGAATTAACACCAATCAGCCAAGAAACGGATAGTAAGTTCATGACTTGCAATTATTAAGGACAACATGGTGCTTTGCTCTGGTCATGCAGAATGGTCCAAGTGAACGATCATAAGTCAGGTTCGAGCCCCTTTAGGCCATACTTCGCCTTGACCCACATAATAGCTCACTATCCAGTGTAATAATCAACACAAAGTGTGATCCCAACTGCTGATTTCTGAATAAAGTTGAAACAGGAAAACGTTGAATTACAGTATTCACGACTTTTAGATGTTGGGATGTCAGTTTTCACATACGTTTATGTTTCGATGCCATTTGTGTCACCTTTCTTTCGTTCATGAAGCTTATGACAAGAAGATAATCAGTATTCCTTACCATTGGAAAACAGTGTCGAATTGTTTATTTTTGAATAAAGCTATAGGTACAAGTATTTTACGGCTGTAACATGTAGCTTCCTGTTTATTCCCATGATGTGGTTTTCGTTTATCAACCTTGAAAGAAAGGAAGACGAATGAATCGCCCGGGACTCTAACCACGAACCTCTTTAGTCCCAGTCAGGTGTCCAAGCGG